AAAACATAAAATCAATTCAAAATTTATATACTAATAAATTAAATAATATAAATTAAAAATAAATAAAAACTAAAAAATTGAGAACGCGCCCCGGGGCATCGCCCGGGTTTGAGAGCTAGTTTTAGTATCTAAAGCTTGAATATAATTTGAACTAATTTATAAATACTGAATTTATATCAAGATCAATTGAACTATGAGTTGTTATTTCTAAATTTTGGTAGACTTGAAAGCCTTTAAAATTGCTCTTTGCATCTTCAATTAATTAAAATTTTAATAGTTTTAATCATTACGGTGCATTTCAAAATTAAGCAGACAATTGGTCATCAACTCCAAACATTTGGTTCCCAAAATTAAATTTTAGTATCAAATTATATATTAATCAATCAATGGTAAACCCGAACCCTGATCTGTACCGATAACGTATCTACCTAATCTTCCCACAGGCTAACCTATCTTCCCACGCCCGGAAATCTATATTTACATATTAGTGATCAAAATTTTCAAATTTTGGTGTAGTTACAAATGTGTCGTAATGTTATTCAAAAGCTCATTAATAATAGAAATACAATCAAGTGTCATTATATAAATACTAAATAAAGTCAGAATAATTTTGAATAAAAACTTATTAATGAATAAAATTTTTTAAAAAATGAAACCTATTTATAATTATTTATGTCCGACTTTAGGAATCTTACAAAATTTTGTATTGTGAATTTCATGATCAAGAAATTCAGTTTCTTCAATAAGAACTATTTTACAAACTTCACCATGAATTATCAAAGTCAGAACTTTAATTTCTTTTAGCCTCTAAGTTAAGTCAGACTGTTTGATTGCTTCTCATTGACATTCTACAGATATAGAGCTTTAGTATTAATAAATATTAGATAATATATATTGGTATGTACATACTACAAATTTCAAATAGACAGTTAGCGTTGGTGCTATGTATAATCTCTGCAATTTTATGAAATTTATCAGGATGTTCAAGTAAATGATTGGCTAAATTCTTTTCTTTTAAGATAATTTAGGACGATTAAATTTTAGTAATTTATAAATTTTCTTGAAAATTTTTATATCTGTTCTAAATTTGAAAAACTTCAATAGCAAATAAAGTTAATTCTAAATATAAATTATAAATTAATCAGGCAATATGCGCATGTAGCCTGAACAAATAATTAATTTTTCCAACTTAAAATCTGATAAAACCTTCAAAGCAATACAGAGTGCTATATTACCTATAAAGTTTTTATATTTAAAATATAGAAATCAATTAAAATAATCATTAAAAAGAATTATAACAATTGAAAAAAATACTGTAATAAATATTAAACTTTACCACCCATATGCCTTCCAAGTAAATTAAACCTTTTAATTCCAAGAAGTCTAATTAATTCAATTGTATCTTGTTCCATTAATTCAATGATAGGATCATCATCAGAAGCAACAGTTGATTCTCTAATTCCACGATGATCAAATACAATTACTAATAAATAGTCAATTTGAAAATAACATTAAGGATAATACTTAAAAAACAACCTCTTTGTAATTAGCATCTTAAGTACTTTATTAATAGTAAGTCAATAAGTCTATGAAATCATAAATCTGTTGTGAGAACAAAATTTAATTTAGGGTGTAGGTTTATATAGAATAAATTCTACCCTCAAATTCTTATTTGCTTAAGAAATTCCAAAACTACTTAAATTACGGGATTAGTTTTTGCGCGTATAATGGAATATGTTTGATGTCGGTAAAATTCATATATATCATATATTCAAAAGGATATATTCCAACTGTGTACCTGACAAATTTCTTCATTTCATCAATAATAACGACTAACCTGTTTTTGGTTATTTGCTAATTCTAACAGTAATTAATGATAATTAATTCTTAAACAAAAATGACTGTAATTAACCTTCTTCAAAGTAATAAAAATGCACTTTAGTGCCATCACTTAATATATTAAGTTTACAGATTAAGGTTAAATAAAGAAATATAACAAAATCTTGTCAATGCTAAAACTGCAATACTTACAATCCCACGATTAATACAAGATGAATCTCATTTTTTATATTTTTAGGTTCAAAAGTCTTGTATGCAATTTTGATCCATCTTGTTTGAAGAAACGAGTTTCAGGCACATCGTATTTAATTTTTTTTTTGGAAAGAGAGTGTGGTTATACATATTTATTATACTACGCAATCAGCACGATACATTTAAAAGGGTACGGTGCGGGAAATTTAAAAACCACAATCACTTTATATCGAACAGAGGTCAATTAACTCATGTGAAGTGATCTAAATATGTCATTCTTAATGGTCAGTATGCAGATAATAGTTACTCTTAAGTATATTTTATTATTCTTTGGCATAGTATCTCTATACAAGGAGATTCTAGACCATTTATTAGGTCGATAATTTAAGAAATTTATTTTCAATATATAACTAGTTTATGCATTATTTCTATAGGGAGAATGAGGTTTTTAAATTTCTTGCGCCGTAGAAAACTGATTTTTATGTCGCACTTGAACCGGTGATCTGCTTGGCTATAATAACATGTTAGTGTCTATTCCGTCATTTCAATATGACTTTGATTATTTACAAATTCCGCAGGTAGTAACTACTCTGAGAAATTACTGCCTCTCTGATTACGAGAACCAGTCCTATCGGTCCTAGTCCAAATCAGAAACATGGAAATATTTGAAATCAAATTTTTTGATCTAAGATATCTCAACAACTACCCAACTAAATTTGATATACAGTCAGCCCTCTCTAAATGCATGACGTCGGGACCATAGTAAAAAATTGAAAAAAATATGCATTTAAAGAGGTTATGCATTTAGGAGGTAAAATCTATAAGTGTTATATTAGTTGGGCCTAAAAAAAACTTGCATTTAGGGAGGTTTTTCATATATATGCATTTAGGGAGGTTGCATTTAGGGAGGTCCGACTGTATATATATATATATTTATTTAATTTAAATTCTACAGACCTGCAGAATTCAAAAAAAAATATATATATATCAAATTTGGTCGAGCGGTTGTTGAGAAATCTTTGATCAAAATTTTGATCTCAAAATATTTCCGTGTTCTGGTCCAGACTGGTTTTGCAAGATCAATGCAACCCTATTATAAATTATAATATAAATTATATTCATGTGATCTAATTGACCAAACCAAGATTTTATTACATGACGTGCTATTTGCTAAGTGCATCCCAGATCCTCTAGACACTGCATATCAAGAAAATATCACTAAGGATAGCTTAATAGGCATTTAAAATTGATTACTAGTTTCCTGATGCTTAATATACTAAAGTTAAATCTTTAACACTAAAAGCCTGTTATGATTATATTTTAAACTAAAGATTTTTTTTTATTAAAATCAACTGTTACATTTTAAATTATGATCTTTATAAAAAACAGCTACGGTATTTTAAGATAATTGAGTTTAATGTCTGGATGCTGAACTTAAATCAGAACCAAATGAACCAGGAGCCGAACATTCAAAGATTTTGTAGAGTAAAGCTTTAAAGTTTTTTTTTACTTCGTTTTCCTTAGCTCCAGTCAATAAATTTTTTATTAGTTTTAATTCAAAAATTCATTGATGATAGAAACACAGTCAAGTGCTGTTATATAAACACTAAATAAAACATAATTTTAAATTAAGATGTTTTTAACAAAGTTTTTTTACTAAGAAAAATATATATATACTGACGCATGCCCAACTTCAGGAATCCTATGAAATTGTGTATTAGGAATTTCACGATCAAGCAATTCACCATCTTCAATAGGAACAATTTCATCAGCTTCACCATGAACTATCAGAGTTGGAACTTTAATTTCCTGTAATCTTGAAACTAAGTCAGACTGTTTGATTGCTTCCCACTGACGTTCTACAAATATAGCTTTGGTATCAATAAATCTTAATGCATATATATCGATGTGCATATATACATACTAAAAATTTCAAATGGACGGTTGGCATTAGTGCTGAGTATGATCTCCGCAATTTTATTAAATTTATCAGGATGTTTAAGCAGATAATCGGCTAAAGACTTTTCTGATTTAAGAAGCATATCTTTTTGTTCTTGAATGGTTTTGGGATGATCCATTTTTGGTAATTTATAAAGTTGTTCAGCTGTCTCGTATGATTTTATATCTGTTCTAAAACGAGCAAAACTTTAACAGAAAATAAAGTTAATTCTAAATAAGTATTATAAATTAATCATGCAATTTATGTATGTACCTTGAAACAATAATTAATTTCTCCAGCTTAAGATCTGAAGGGACGTTCAGGACCGTACAGAGTGCTATATGGCCTATAAAATTTTCACATTTAAAATGTAAGAATAAACAACGTTAATTAAATAAAAAAGAATTATAACTATTAAAAGAAATAATAAATAATTAAAACTTAAATATTACCACCCATAGACCCTCCACATAAATTAAATCTTTTAATTCCAAGATGTTTAATTAATTCAATTGTATCTTGAGCCATTAATTCAATCGTGATAGGGTCATCATAAGAAGCAACGGTTGATTCTCCAATTCCACGATTATCAAATACAATTACTAATAAATAATTAATTAAAATTAACGTCAAGTATAAAAAGCAATTAGAATCTTAAATAAATAATTAATCAAAAACTGTATAAAAACACAAATCCATAAAATATAATTATAATTTTGTGTGCAAATGGCTGCACTTAAAACTTTTCAATAATATGGTTCATATCTAATAATTACATAATATTTGAAACCATGTTACTTCCAATCAAAATTGCTTTGCTTAGCGGAAAGAACCACGTGCAGCATTTAAATATGCGTATATATTATACGTATATATATTAATATTCCAAAGCATATACAGTATATTATAGTTATTGTAAGGATATGTAGTGAATAGCCGTGGCCCCCAGCTACGAGTGTCTTACGTACAATCCCGTGCAATAAGTAAGTGAAAAAAATACGAGTTGTTACATAAGACCCTGCAATAAATCACATATATTCCAAACGTATATATAAATGATCTTGCCAGATTTAGCAGATGCTTTTTTAATAGATATGCCTTATCCTTGTAGCATTATATCGGACTTTATGACCAATTTGCCCATTTCATTAGTATTGACGACTAACCCGTTTGGTTTTTTGCTAATTCTAATGATAGTTCAATTTAGTAATTAAATAATAAATCATAAATATATATTTTTAAACATAATAAAATTGACTGTAATTAACCTTCTTCAAAGCCTAAATATTGCTCTTTGGTGCCACCACTTAATATTAAGTTTTACATATTATGGTTAAACAAACAAAATATAACAAAAATATTATCAAAGTTAAAACTGAATATTTACTATCCCATAATTAATACAAGAGGAATCTCATTTTTAATATTTTCAGGCTTAAGAATTTTGTATGCAATTTTTGATCCATCTTGTTGTTCAAAGAAACGACTTTCTGACATTATTTAATTTTATATTGTCACGATAAAAAATATTTGGAAAGTAAGATTATATTTATATACAATAGGGGGTTGGCACTTATTATGTAAAATTACGTCAGTTCCCTAACTTAGTTTCCTAGTTAGTAAAAATTTTGCTAATCGATTAGTTGCCAACTATGCAGCTACATATGACTAAAGTTGCCGATTAGCCAATCAAACTAAAGAAATCAATACAGATTAGCTAAACTAGATGAATCTTCAGAATTGAACTAGTTGGTAAATAAATCGATTAGTTGTTTTGAATTTTTCTAATAGTTGGAAGTTGTCAACTAGTTGATTTTCAACTAATCGATTCGGATCACTATCTCTAACATCAGAATGTTTATTGTTTGAAATAACGATAATCTTGGGAATCAATTTCTCAAAAGATTTTACGTATCATGCATAGATTGAATTGCCTGATAAGCGTTCATAGATTTACCTTTATGGTATATTAATTGGAAATTGTACGAAATCTGTCCTTAAAGTTCAACTTATTTAGTCGATACTACCGAACAATTTTTCGATTTCCTTATTTGGGGGTCCCTTAAAGCGGGGCAGATTTACATATTGATCTACATATTGCATAACTTGCGTTCTTGATATTTTA